AAAAAAAAAAAAAAAAAAAAAAAAAAAAAAAAAAGAAAAAAGAAAAGGCAAAAAAGGGATGGTGCTAAAAGTAACTAAAGAAATAAAACAGCACCAGGCCTGGTGGTACGTACCGGTAACCCCAACACTCTTGGAGACTGAAGCAGGAGGATTGAAAGCTTGACCTCAAACTGGGCAATTTAGTGAGCCCCTGTCTCAAATAAATAAATAAGTAAATAAATAAAAATTTAAAAACTAAAAAAAGGAGTGGGGATGTATGTCAATATGAAGGCCCTGGGCTTGCTCCCCAGTATTGAAAAAAAAAAAAGGAGGGGGTTGCCAGGGATTTAGCTCAGTGGCACAAGTGCCTGCCTGGCAAGCACAAGGTCCTGAGCTCCATTCCTGGTACCAAAAAAAAAAAGAAGAAGAAGAAAGAAAGCAAAAGAAAGGTAATAAAACAGACTAGCAAGTGCAAGATCCTGGGCTGAAGTTCTGACACAGCAAAAAGGAAAACAGGAAAAGAGTGTGGAGTCGGGCCCGTTGTGAAAACACGGCCGGGCGTTACTGAGGAAGGTAAACGGGAGGCGATCTCAAATCCCAGCTATCTCAGCCTGAAGCGGCACTTTCAGCCGAGTTGAACAACGGGCTCTGAAACCGGTTAAACCCAAGCTGAGAGAAAGGATCAACAGAAGGAGGAGACTAACATTAGTGCCCTCTTCAGCACTTGTGTATCCCTGATCGAGAAACACTGATCGGTTTTACGTGAAATACTTTGACTTGAATATGCTACTGGGTGGAGCTCTTTTATATGGGGACAAGCATTCATGTGTCAAAGTGGACTGGAAGTCTGGGTGAAAGAAAGTTTTTTTATTCTTTTGAGGCCTCAATGCCGCCTACCCACCTCCTCTTTTGAGGGATATAATGGGGTGCCTAAGAGACGCAACCTCGTGTTCCTGCTCCGGCTGACTTCTGAGACCGTTGTCATAAGAAGGATGTGACAGTCTGTCCAATTGCAAATCCTGGATTAATTAGTAACAAATTATAGAAATGCTCTCTGAAAGTACAGCCGTAATGCCCGGATTAATTAGTAACAGAGCCCTAGGCCCCGTCCCAAGTGCACGCCGCCAGCCTGCACGCCCATGGAGGAGAATGGAGGTCGGGGTACCAAGCGCTGTCGCCCCCGTGCACCTGATATTCACTTCTGTGTTGTACGGGGTTCTTGTGAGTACGCACTACATTCATACAAACATGTATGCTCTTTTCCCTGTTTTGGCAGTGCCGGGGATCGAACCCAGGGCCTCACATACTCTAGGCAAGCGCTCTACCACCAAGCTGCACCACCAGCCCATCCAATTTTCGTGTATATATATTTGGTCCATGTGTATGCATCTTCAGTGTGTGCATATATTCTGTACTTTTTGAGACAACAACCCAAATTTTAGATATTTTATGAATAGAACTAATTGGAAAAGTGTACAAAGATGCATATCTCAATGGTCTATGACTTGCCTGGTGTGCATGAGGCCCTGGCTTGATTCCCAGTAACGCACAAAAAAAGTGTCCACTGTGGGATATGCATTTTAAATATGTATAATAATGTTACAATAAGCACCTATCAACAATCACAAAATAAAACGGCAGGAGGGGCCCGGGATATAGCCAGGCAGGCGCTTGTGCCACTGAGCTATATCCCCGGCCCGAGCAAGCCTCACCTTATCGTCCTTTTACTGTTAAACTAAACTCTCAGCTTTCTTTGGATTTCATTCATTTCCCCGTTAATTTCCTTTCCCCACTCCAGAGTCCCATCCAGACCAGGCCTCGCGGAGTTCAGCTGCCCTAACTCCTCCGTGATCCCTGCATTGAGACGGGGCCGCTGGCTGTGACCCCTGCCCAGCCCGGGCCGCCGTCCCCGGGGCAGATGGGGAGTGCTCACCGGATCCTGCGCTGTGGGCCTCGAGCTGCTCTCAGATACAGCGCTGATTTCCGCCGTTCTCCCCCTTGTCCTCACTGGAGCACAGCACGAAGGTCTTTGCTCCTGAGCTCTCCCCAGGAGAGTGCAGCTGCAGCCGGGGAGGCAGCGCCCGTGGAGTCTGGGCGGCTGAGCCCATAGAGTAGCTCTGCCCTCAGCACACGCCCCGGCCTGCCGCCTTCTCTGCCACTGCAGGTGACTGACCTCTTGAGTGGGTGGCCTCAGGTGGCAGACAGGCTCCGCCTGACCTCTAAGACCTGAAGTTACCATCACTGTCGAGTGTCCACCCTGTGCCTCTATGTCTTAACTGTTATCAATATTTAACCACAGAGCGGTAGTCAAGGCTGGGGTTTTATAACCAGTGCTTTCATGTAGTGAAGGTTGGGGAATTCATATGAATTCCTCAAAGAGCTATAAAATGAGAACTTGGGAGGGCAGGGCTGAGAGAGTCGGGAAAAACCAGTGAACCCCGGAGGAAGAAGCAGTCCAGGTCCACGTCCTCTGCTGTTTGTGGACCCTGAGTTTCCTGCCCTCTGGCTCTGCATTGTCAGCAACTGGTGTCACTGGCTGAGCAAGGAGGGGTTCATGTTCCTCCCATGTGGAGACAGAGTCTGAGTCAGGTCCTGCCCATGTCAGGTCCAAATTCCTAGCCTGGTGTGGTGGCACATCCCTGTAATCCCAGCCCCTGGGAGGCTGAGGCAGGAGGATCACCAGAATTTCGAGGCCAGGCTGGGCTACATAGTGAGCTCAAGGCCATCAAACTATATACATCAAACTTCATCCATCAAACAAACAAAATCTAATTTCTCTGGTGAGTTAAGCAACAGGAAGTGGTGAGGAAGAGAGCATAGTTCAGAGGAAAAGAGAATCAACAGGGACCTGGTGTAGAACTCCAGTTTCTCCCCATTTCATAGCACATTCATTCATCCATTCATTCATTCAGCAAACACTTCTTGAGCACCTGCTGTATGCAGGTGGGTCCACAGTGAACAAGACAGGTGAGGACTCCCAGGAAGACAGACAAGCAACAATACCAAAATCATGAATGATACAACCCTGGCTAGTAATAGCTGCTGCGCAAAATTTAAATAACATGATGATGGCCAAGTGATGGGCTGGGTAGCTATGGTTATTATACAAGAATACTAAAATACTAAGCTGGGCGTGGTGGCACAGTCCTCTAAGTCCAGCGCCTGGGAGGCATGGGCAGGAAGGCAGCAAGTTCAAGTCCAGCCTGATGATACTAGCAACTTCGTGAGACCCTGTCTCAAAACTAAAAAACAAAAATAGGGCTGGGGCTGTAGCTCAGTGTGAAGGTCCTGGGTTCAACCCCCGGTACTGGCAGAAAAAATGAATGCTGAAAAATTAGCATGCAGAGACTCTGAAGATATCAAGAGCTTAGAGTCGGAGGAACAAACAGCTGACCCTGGGGAGGAGGGCAAGTGTCGGGAAGACAGCGGTGCCTCCCTCAGAGGCTTTGAGACAGGGGAATAAGTTTGCATCTTACCTAAATGTATGAGAACCCGGATCCGACGGGGCTGACATCTAAGACCTGCGGAGCAGGCGGTGGGTTTGGGGGAGCCAGGACGCCCCTGGAGACTTTTCCATTTATGGAGGGTGCTGTGTGCCGGGGGCTTGTGGGATGGGGAGAAAATGGGACCAGGGTGCATTTTGGAAGGAAAGATAGCCGGCAGATTTCAAGAGAGAAGAACTCAGCTCTTCTGCAAACACAAAAGGGATTTGCTGACTCCTAACTAGGAAGGGCGGAATGGATCCAGGAACTCCCAGGTCCCTCGTGGTTCTTTCTAAATGTCCTCCTGCTTCTCTCTGGCTGCCGGGCCCAGGACCGCGGCTGGCATCTCCGGGCAGCTGGGTCAGGCTGGAGGAATCCAGGCTCGCTCTTGTACAGCCCAAGGGGAACGAATTTGTTTTCTTAGCTCTGGTTCGAGCTGCTGCTGGGCTGGGTCGTGCGCCCATGTTCTGGATCCACTGTTACGACGGAGGCGGGGAGGTTAGGCATCGTGGGGTCAGCGAGAGTCTTGTGCTCCCTGGGCAGGAGAGAGGGGCCACTCTGGTGTGATCCCCGAAGGTGCTTGAGCACAGTCCTTCCTGTCTGCCTGGGAGAGCACCGTGGGGCTCTGATGGGTGTGTCCCCTTGAGAGGAGCCTGCCGACCACCGGATTTCCTCTCTTCTGCCTCGTTGTTCCTTCCCTCTCTCACCCCGGTTCTGTCCGCTGTGCCCCGCGCACTAACTCTTCCTCCACGCCAGGATCTGCTAGTGGCGAGCAGCGCAGACATTGCCCCCAATCTCGCGGGGACTACAATGGCAGACCGGTGTTCACAGGAGGGATCATGTCGTGACGGCCCCTGTGTAACCAGTGTCCCAGAGGGAATGTGCACCAGACAACAGCCTATCCCTGAGGCCTCTCTTCCTCAGAGCTCGGCATGTCACTCCTGCCCCACTCCGCCCAGTACTGGACTGCACCCAGGACCTCTGCCCTGAGCTACATCCCCACCGAGGCCTTTTTTTAGTTTTTATTTTGAGACAAATCTTGTCAAGTGACTAAGTTGCCCAAGGTAGGACTGACCTTGCAATCCCCCTGCCTCAGCCTCCCAGAGTGATGAGATTTCGGGCATGCACACCCGTGCCTGGCTAAATGCCCCTTCCTGACTAATCACTCCTACCTTGAAATCTCCTTTCCTGACTTCTCCAGGCCCTTATCTTCCTGTCTAGAAGATGGTAAGCAATCAGCAGGGCAGTGGGGCAGAAGGGCCTTTCGGCTTTTCTTTGCTATTGTAATATCTGCTACTTTATAATCCTACTCTCAGTTTAAATGTCACCTTCTCAGGAAAGCCTTCCATGTCTGTTGAGAATTGTGTTTGACTCTGGGTAATAAAGACCCAATTCCAGTGGTTTAAATGCACGAGCATTTATTTTCTCACCTAAGAAATGCAGATGAAGTCAATTACTACTGTCATAAGAACAAACAAATCAGGACTGAGGTTTTTTTGGATTTTTTTTGTACCAGGAATTGAACTCAGGACCTTGCCCTTGCCAGGCAGGCGCTGTGCCACTGAGCTGAGGTTTCTGGGATTTCCTCAAGGTCCCAAAATCGCTGACAGAGCTCCTGCCATGAAGCCCAGTCCCATATATGTAGACGAGTATGCAACTATACCCAAATAAATGTTCACATGCGAACACAGCCATCCAGGTCAAGAAATGAAACATTGACAAAATCCAGCTGTCCTCACCTGGCTGTCCTTTCTGGCCACATTAGTTTTATAAATGGAATCAATCAGCATTCTTTTGAGTTGGGCTTCTTTTTTCGGACATATTTATGGAAGAAGTCGGTGTTGTGTAGTGCTCTGGTCCATTCATTCTTGTTGCATAGTATTTTACTGTGCGACTCTGCCATGACATATTTATTCATGGATCATGTTTTTATAGGAAAACCGTGGCCCTTCTGATCCATTTTTCCCCTGTCCAAACACATCCATACTGGCAAAAAGGAAATAGGAGATCAGGATCACAGAGTTATGGTCAATGGGCAAAGTATGACCTGCAGCCTATTTTTTAGATAACTTTTTTTTTTGTAACAGGAATTGAACTCAGAACCTTGCACTTGCCAGGCAGGTGCTTGTGCCACTGAGCTATATCCCCAGCCCCTAGATAATGTTGTATTGGTGCCTGTAATCCCTGCTTCTGGGAAGGCTGAAGCAGGAGGATCACAAGTTTAAGGTCAGCCTGAACAACTTAGTGAGACCCACTCTCAAAATAAAATAAAAACAGCTGGAGATGTGGCTCAGTGGTAGAGCACTTGCCCAGCCTAGTTGAGGCCCTCAATTTGATCCCCAGCATGGGCAAAATGTTTTATTGGAATATGCCATGTTATTTCTTTACGTAATATCTTTCATGCTACATTAGCAGGACTAAGCAGTTGTGATACTGATTTTTTAGCCCACACAGCCTAAAAGAGATGTTTGTTGGCTCTTAACAGACAGTTTATCAACCCTGACATGAAGATAGAAGGAACCCAGGTTCCAGTCTGCCTTCTGTGGACCACGTGTCCATTTCTGGAATGCAATGTGAGAGGAACATTTGGGGTCTCTGCGTTACAGAAGTGTAACCTGTAGTGTAACAAACACACATCATGCATGCTCACAAACATGTTGGCTATGTGAATAACAGGGTAGCAGCAGAACTGACTTCTAACCTGCCTATCCTGGTGCCAGCCAGCTGGGTGACTTTGAGCTAGGGTCACTTGCTAGCATGGGTCCTTGCCTCATTGATAACAGAAATTAAAGCTAAGACATGCAGCACGAGTTTACAGGATAAAACTTTAGCTGGAAGGTAAGAGAAAATGTAGAGGGCCGAGCTCTGGTGAAGATCAAGCTGGCCCCCTAACAAGGAAGGAAGAGATGGGAAGAAGGGTTTCCACTTGAGGGACTGAGAGGGCTGCAGGCCTAAAGAGAAGGCCCAGACTGGCCCGCCAGCAAAGGAGTGGCCACCAGCTTCAATGGGGCTGTGGCAGGCTGGTGGGTCCTCATCTCAGCCCTGGTTCTGTAGCTCCAGAGGAAGAATCCTTCTGGCTTCAGGACAGGGATGGCTGTCTCTTCCCAGGGCAGGATTAGCCATGCTAGGCCTTGCTGGAATCCAAGGTGACCCTAGGGTCGGGACAGTGGAGACTTCGAGGCATCGCTGAATGTCCCGATACACATCTTAGCTTGGTGTCTGCAGTCTGAAAGGGAGATGAGACAGGCTAGGAAATGTATGGCTGATAAACCTTGTTTTGCCAACTTTTCCTTAATAATTAATATATCTATATCCAAAGCTTTAATTAATAAAAGACACACAATGAAGTCAAACACTCTCCCTTTTGGTCTGTCTCTGTCTCTGTCTCTTCTTCTCCCCTGTTCCTATTGGGCTTCTAAAGGTCTAATGAAAAGTCATGGTGTTTAGCAACAAAGCAAAGCCCCACCACCACTTTTAAATCCTCATCTGCCTTTTAAGAAGTAATAGGTTAGCCAGGTGTGGTGGTGCACGCCTGTAATCCCAGTACTCGGGAGGCTGAGGCAGGAGGATCCTTGCGAGTTCGAGGCCAGCCTGGGCTACAAAGTGAGCTCAAGGCCAGCCTGAACTGCATAGCAAGACCCTGTCTCAAAAAAAAAAAAAAAAAAAAAAGTAATAGGTTAAAGGCCCAGGAGTTTGTTTTCTGTCCCTATGGTGTTCTCTGGGTCACTAGCAGTCACCTGGACGTCAATTTCTTTTCTCCCTATGTTGTCCAGGCTGCTGTCTGATTCCTGGGCTCAAGTGATCCTCTTGCCTCAGCCTCCTGAGGAGCCAGGACTCCAGGCAAGCACCAGACTTCAATTTCTTATCAAACCACACAGGCTCTGTAAGAACAAAGAAGGAAAAGTATTTTAGAAATTACCGGAAGAGGACAGTTGTGTAATGACCAAGTCTAGGCCTTGTTTAAATTTGGAGAATTTCACCTGGAGCCAACCAGTTGGCTTTTCTACGAAATAAGGTGCAAAACACAAACGAAGCACCTTTTTCCTAAGCAAAGATGGGGCAGGTGGGTAGGGAACGCTGAGCTGTCCAGGGTTCTGACTCCTCACCTGGGCTGGGGCTCAGGTGCCAGATAGTGTCTGCCCTAGCTCAAGGGACTGAGGGGCAGTATCTTCCTGCGTGTCCCTCCCCGGCCTCCTCGCAGTGAAGATGAGATGGCTTCCGGGCTCAACCAAGGCCCAAAGTATTTCTAGGTCTGCTATGTATTTCTAGATCACGCTGTTTTGCTTTTAGGGTAGCCCATGTGCCCCCCAGGTAGCCAGTGCCAGGAGGGGTGATGAGGCCCCTGGCTATTTTTATTTTTGGTGGTATGAGGAATGGAATCCAGAGCCTTGCACACGCCAAACACTTTACCATGAGCTGCATCCCCAGCCCTAGTTGTTCTTATTTTCATTTTCATAGGCATCACTTACACTTAGAAGCAAGTTTAATAACTCAATTTGAGCCCAGCATGGTGGCACACTCCTGTCACCCCAGCTACTCAGGAGGCTGAGGCAGGAGGATTATAAGATTGAAGTCAGCTTTGGCAACTTAATGAGAACTTGAATTAAAAACAAAAGGTGCTGGGAGGTATCCATTAGTGGGAGAGTGTTTTCCTGGCATGCACAAGGTCCTGGTTCAATCCCCCACCCCACCAAGCAAATTCAATATGAACGGTAATTTCTTTCAAGTCCCTAGTAGCAACCCACTA